TTCTGCATGGAGCACTGGGTGTTATATGCAAATAATGAATCATAGAACACTACATCAAAAACTAATGATGTAATGTATGGTGATTAACATAACATAATTTAAAAAAAAGAAAAAATAAAGATGTCTGTGTATATGGACAACATATTCATTATCTATTCATCTGTTGAAGGGCATCTCGGCTCTTTCCACAGTTTGGCTATTGTGGACATTGCTGCTAGAACACTGGGGGGCCTATGGCCCTTCTTTTCATTACATCTGTGTCTTTGGGGTAAATACCCAGTAGTACAATTGCTGGGTCATAGGGTAGCTCTAATTTTAATTTTTTTGAGGCACCTCCACACTGTTTTCCAAAGGGGCTGTACGAACTTGCATTCCCACCAACGAGGGTTCCCCTTTTTCCACAACCTCTCCAACATTTGTTGTTTCTTGCCTTGTCCATTTTTGCCATTCTAACTGGTGTAAGGTGATATCTCAATGTCGTTTTGATTTGAATTTCCCTGATGGCTAATGATGATGAGCATTTTTTCATGTGTCTGTTAGCCATTTGTATGTCATCTTCAGAGAAGTGTCTTTTCATGTCTTCTGCCCATTTTTTGACTTGATTATTTGTTTTTTGGGTGTTGAGTTTGAGAAGTTCTTTATAGATCTTGCTTGGATACCAGCCCTTTATCTGTAGCATCATTTGCAAATATCTTCTCCCATTCTGTGGGTTGCCTCCTTGTTTTGTTCACTGTTTTCTTTGCTGTGCAGAAGCTTTTTCTCTTGATGAAGTCCCAAAAGTTCATTTTTGCTTTTGTTTCACCTGCTTTTGGAGATGTATCTTGAAAGAAGTTGCTGTGGCCGATGTCAAAGAGGTTATTGCCTATGTTCTCCTCTAGGATTTTGATGGATTCCTGTCTCACGTGGAGGTCTTTCATCCATTTTGAGTTTATCTTTGTGTATGATGTTAGAGAATGGCCAGGTTTCATTCTTCTGCATGTGGCTGTCCAGTTTTCCCAGCACCATTAAGAGACTGTCTTTTTTCCATTGCATATTTTTTCCTGCTTTGTCGAAGATTATTTGACCATAGAGTTGAGGGTCCATATCTGGGTTCTCTATTCTGTTCCATTGGTCTATATGTCTGTTTTTGTGCCAGTACCATGCTGTCTTGGTGATCACTGCTTTGTAGTATAGCTTGAAATCGGGCAACATCATGCCCCCAGCTTTGTTTTTCTTTTTCAACGTTTCCTTGGCGATTCGGGGTCTTTTCTGATTCCATACAAATTTTAGGATTGTTTGTTCCAGCACTTGGAAAAATGTCATTGGAATTTTCATCGGGATGGCACTGAAGGTATAGATTGCTCTGGGTAGCATAGACATTTTAACAATGTTTATTCTTCCGATCCAAGATCATGGAATGTTTTTCCATCTTTTTGTGTCTTCTTCAATTTCTTTCATGAGTGTTCTGTAGTTCCTAGAGTACAGCTCTTTTACCTCTTTGGTTAGGTTTATTCCGAGGTATCTTACAGTTTTTGGTGCTATTGTAAATGGAATCGTTTCTCTAATTTCTCTTTCTACAGTTGCATTGTTAGTGTATAAGAAAGCAACTGATTTCTGTGCATTGATTTTGTATCCTGCCACATTACTGAATTGCTGAATGAGTTCTAGTAATTTAGGGGTGGAGTTTTTTGGGTTTTCCACATAAAGTATCATGTCATCTGCAAAAAGAGAGAGTTTGGCTTCTTTGCCAATTTGAATACCTTTTATTTCTTTTTGTTGTCTGATTGCTGTTGCTAGGACTTCTAGTACAATGTTGAACAATAGTGGCAAGAGTGGGCATCCTTGATTTGTTTCTGATCTTAAGGGAAAGGCTCTCAGCTTTTCCCCATTGAGGATGATATTCGCTGTGGGTTTTTCATAGATGGAATTTATGAGCTTGAGGAATGTTCCCTCTATCCCTATACTCTGAAGAGTTTTAATCAGGAAAGGATGCTGTATTTTGTCAAATGCTTTTTCTGCATCAATTGAGAGGACCATATGGTTCTTCTCCCTCCTCTTATTAATGTGTTCTAGCACATTGATTGATTTCTGAATGTTGAACCACCCTTTGATCCCGGGGATAAATCCCACTTGGTCGTGGTGGATGATCCTTTTAATGTATTGTTGGATCCTATTAGCTAGGATTTTGTGGAGGATTTTGGAATCCATATTCATCAGGGATATAGGTCTGAAATTCTCCTTTTTGATGGGGCCTTTGCCTGGTTTGGGGATCAAGGTAATGCTGGCCTCATAGAATGAGCCTGAAAGCTCTCCTTCTGTTCCTATTTTTTGAGACAGCTTTAGGAGAATAGGTATTATTTCTTCTTTGAAAGTTTGGTAGAATTCCCCAGGGAATCCATCAGGCCCTGGACTCTTGTTTTTTGGGAGGTTTTTGATCACTGCTTCAATGTTGTTACTGGTTATTGGTCTCTTCAGGTTGTCAATTTCTTCCTGTTTCAGTCTTGGTAGTTTATAGGTTTCTGGAAGGCATCCATTTCTTCCACGTTACTTAATTTTTTGGCATATAGTTGCTGATAATAATTTCTAATAATTGTTTTATTTCCTTGGTGTTAGTCGTGATCTCTCCCCTTTCATTCATAATTTTATTAATTTGGGTCCTTTCTCTTTTCTTTTTTTTTCTCCTGTCTCTTTTCTTTTGGATAAGTCTGGCCAGTGGTTTATTGATCTTATTAATTCTTTCAAAGAACCAGCTTCTGGTTTCGTTGATCTGATCTACTGTATTTCTGGTTTCTAATTCATTGATCCCTGCTTTAGTCTTAATTATTTCCTTTCTAATGCGTGGCTTAGGCATAGTTTGTTTTTTTTCCTCACAGTTCTTTAAGGTGTAAAGTCAGTTGGCTAGAGGCTTGGATATATTATTCAGCCATCAGAAAGGATGAATACCCAACTTTTGCATCAGCATTGATGGGACTGGAGGAGATTATGCTAAGTGAAGTAAGTCAAGCCGAGAATGTCAATTATCATTTGTTCACTTATTTGTGGAACATAAGAAATCACATGGAGGACATAGGGAGAAGGAAAGGAAAAATGCAGGGGGGATATCATAGGGGGAGAAGAACCATGAGAGACTATGGACTCCAAGAAACAAACTGAGGGTTTTAGGGGGGAGGGGGGGATGGGTTAGCCCAGTGATGGGTATTAAGGAGGGCACATATTGCATGGAGCACTGGGTATTATAAGCAAACAATGAATCATGGAACACTACATCAAAAACAAATGATGTACTGTATGGTGACTAACATAACATAATTAAAAAAAAAGAAAAAAGATGTCTGTGACTAGATAATGGATAAAAAATGATCTGTTCACTCTGTGCCACAGACCTCATAGGGGCCAAAATAGCGGAATTACCTTCATGTTTGGGAGGTCTTCCTATATCAAAATGATAGAAAAAGTTTCAAAGAGGCTTTCACTATGAATACTAGAAATGCTAAGGAAATACTTAAAAAGAGCAGTATGATTTTCAGAGATGTTCATGATGGGAAAACACAGGGGAAAGGAGTGTCTAGACCAGCAGTTTACTAAGTAGCTCATCTAAGACATAAGTAAACAGGAAGTCTTTTCAGCACACCCAGATCAAGACCAGACGGCGTCTTCTGTGGCTGGGCTTGCCGGTGTCGGCACCATGAGGAATGGGCATCTAATGTTGCTGCCAGGTAGGGCAACTAAAGCTATCCAGGATCTCTATCCTGTTTGAGAATGTTCTCCATTCTTTGCTTTATTTCTAACATTTGCTCTATTTCTGTTATTTCCTACTATCTCTCTAAGGGAGAGCAGGAAAAAAATTTAAGAATGGAATTATCTCAGTTATATTAAGTTCTCAAAGAAGAAATTTAGTTAAACTTATTTCTAGGGCAAACGTGGGGACTTATCAGAGCTTTCTCATTTTATGACATGTATTAAACCAGGTTCTCCAGAGAAAACATAATCACTAGTTTCTGTATATGTATCTATCTGTATAGAGATGTAAATGTGTGTGTGTATGTATATATGTTTATGTGTGTGTATTATTATATAGAGAGATGAGAGAGAATGTGTTAGTTTAAGAAATTGGTTTATGCAATTTTTAAAGTTGGAAAGTCCAAAATCTGTAGGGTAGGCTGGAAACCCAGGGATGTTTCCAGGGATGTTGATGTTGCATCTCAAGTCTGAAGTCAGTTTGGAAGCAGAATTTTCTCTTCCTTGGAAGAAGTCAGTCTTTTTTTCTCCTAAGGTCTTCAACTGATTGGATGAGGCCCACCCAGATTATAGAGAATCTGCTTTACTCAGAGTCTACTAATTTAACTGTTAATCTCACTTAAAAAACCACCTTCACAGCAACATCATGCCTCCCATGAATGGAATGACAGACTCTAATAGGTGGCCAGGTGATTGCCTGTAGGGTAGATTCCTTCACACCTGTAGTGGTTTTCATACCATGATGCCTGCCCAGTGACCCATCACTCAGGACCAGACTGGGAGGTAAAGGGAAAGCCTGTTGCCCTCAGTGCACTGTAGGATGGTGAGGAGCTCAATTGGAAGGAACCATAGAAGCTATGGGTGCTGCACCTGGAGAGGCCACTTAAACAGGAGATGGTGGCTCAAACTGCCAGTGTGATAGTTCTCACCCCTCACCTATCATCAGCTTCCCATCTTGTGATTCCATGGCTTCCTGCCCGACCAATACCACTGTGAGCTGGGACTCAGACTTGGGGATCACTCCCAAACCCATGCTCTTATTGTTTGCATTGAAACATGTATGTTGAACAGGGGGAGTGATCCTGGAAGAGAAATCCTCAAGGTAGATTTCTGCCATCACCGTAGAACAAAGGACCTGGCCGTGGGCAGAGCACACTAATCTGAGGACTCTGTGCTTCAGGATTTAACCCCTTTAATGGGAGAGGCTGTAATTTCTTTTTTTTCCATCTTTTTAAAAAATGTATTTATTTATTTGGTGGGGGGAGGGTAGAGGGGGAGGGAAAGGAAGAGGGAAAAAATCCCAAGTAGACTCCCCACTGAGCGCAGAGCCTGGTGCAGGGCTCCATTTCCATCATGACCTGAACTGAAAGCCAGAGTTGGACCTCAACCTACTGAGCCACCCAGGTGCCCCTGGGAGAGGCTGGAATTCCTAAGTTGTGTCCCTGACATCACCTGTGTATATTCTGTCTCCTTACCTGTAGCAGGGAGGTTCCACAAGGATGGTGTCTGTTAGTGAGTGATCCCTTGGGAGTCCAGGGAGAGGGAGGGAAGAGGACTGGTCCTCAAATCTTCATAAATTACAAAAGCCTTGGGAGAGCCATGGGCCACAGCATCAGAGCCATCTCCCAGGATGCAATGGCCATGAGGACAAGGGTTGAACCTGGAGCTCCATCTCCTCTCTTTGTCATCTCTCTGTTTTTTCTGTGCCAGGACTCTTGATGCTGCTGCTGTTGTCATTGGGAGCTGCAGCCCAGATGTCTAGCGGTGAGTCTGCCCAGCCAACCCCATTGAGGCTCCGGTCTTCTGGAGATAACAGAAACCATTTCTACCTCCCCAAATGTCCAGAGTTTTCTGTCTTTTCCTCTTCCAATGGCAGCCATTCCTCTCCTTCCTCCACCTCCCCTCCTGTGCTCCTAGACCCCTAGCTGGCAGCTGGCTCCCTCCATTTCTTGAACCTTCCGAGTGTGATGTCTGTCCCCACGGCCTCTATCATTACAGACTCAACTCGCTATTGCCCTGCGAACTCCGCTGTTTTCAATGACATCTCCTGTCGTTGCTCTCCGGGATTCATTTCTTCATCTGGGGAGATCTTCTACAATGGCGCTGAGCGTTGTGAAGGTACAGGGGCTTGGGGTGGTGCAGGGGCATGGAGATGGTGGAGGGAGGTGATGGGGGGAAGATGTTCTTCTCTCTATGTCTCAGTTTGCTTGTCTATAAATTAGGGAACCTACTCCTCATGGATGGAGTGAGATTTAAAATTTACATGTGTGAAGACTAGGTAAAGACTAGTATGGAGCAGACTGCCAAACACAAGTCTATATTATGGTCACTGCTGTTATTACTATGATTATTCTCATAGCTAAAGGAAAGGGGAGAGGTTGTGGAAGCAAGGAGAGGCAAGGAGAGGCCAGGGCCTGGAATCTCAGCCTCTCCTCCTAGTGTGAGCTCAGGGGGGAGACCTCCCCCTCACAGTCATGGTTTCCCACCTTGCTTCTCACAGCAGTCCCATGAGGCAGGCAGAGCTACATGGTTTTTTAAATGACCAAATTTGGGCTCAAAGAGATTGAGTGACCTGTCCAAAGTCCCAAAATTAGTAAGGTGGTTGAACCTAGATCTGGGTTGAAAATTGAGTTTTATTCTTCAACAACACAGGCTGTAAAAGGAGATTATACTAAAATGGTTAAGGTGGTAAATTTTATATTATGTGAATTTTACAATAAAAATGGGGAAAAGGGAAATCACACTGTTTTTACACCAAGAAATACTCTTCATGTACTGAAAATCATCTTAGATGCATATTTACTAATAACAAAGGAAAATAGTCCTAATGTTTGGAAAGATAAGAAAAAATATCCCTAAAATTTCCCCTGTAGTCCCGGTAGTGGACTTATGTGTGATTTTTCTTGTGTTCATTTTTTTTTGTTTGGTTTTTTTTTACATTTTCTTTGTCCTTCTAAGTATCCATGTGCCATTTAATATTTGGGGGAAAGTAAATCTACCATGGAATAAAAGGTGGTGTTGTGACTCCCGCCCAGCCCCTCCATGCCCGAGAGGTATCCCTAGCGGATCCCCCTGCATTTGTGTGTGTGTCTCATGGAGACTTGTGGCTGGGTGAGCATGGCAAGGAGCCCTGCTGATGGTGTGCCTGGATCCCAGCTCCTTCCTGGGAGCACGCCTGTCAGGTTGAGGATTTCTCACCATCATGTCTTCCCCTCCCACATGCCTCATTCCCACCTGTCTCCCACTTGACTCCACCCCACCCAACAACCTTGAAGGCAGGTGTCCAACCATTGCCACCATCTGAGAAGAGAGGAGGGCAGGCCCATTGCCCAGAGGGGGGTGAACATGAATGTGTCAGGTGTGCATCTTCCCACATCCTGTCATGTCCTGGTGCTGACCCCCACAGCATGGGCCTGAGGCCTTAGAAGGGATGTCCACAATTTCAGGTAGGAAACTCTGCTCTGGGGGACCCAGTTGCCTGCCCTGACTCAGCATGATGCCATGAGTCCTTTCAGGCTCTAAAAGTCCTGTTGCCCTGATTGGAATGTGCAGGAGAAAACATTCTTCCCGGCTTTGATGCATTCTTGTCTAGCTGGTTCTTATTAAACTGTTATTTTTAGCAGTAATGACCCAGACCCCCAGCTCTGTGGGTCCCTGAGATACTCAATGAACCTAGCTCATGGGACTCTTTGTTCTCATGTTTTGAGAACAGGGAGAGATAAGAGACCAGAACCACCCCCCACCAACAGCCACCAGTGACTCAGCTGTGAGAACCTGCATGCTGCTTCCTCATTTCATATCTGTGATGGTTCAGATAAGAGAAACTTCCTCTAGGGTTGGAGATAGCAAGACTCCTCCAGAGATACCCCGGAGCTTCTTGAAAATGCCGGACATTGGCAGCTTCGGGGAGTGGGTGATGAGGACTGTGGGGTGAACTTGGGTCACTGTGAGTAATGGGAGGTGGAGCCTGTCAATGGGCAGGGGCCTGAGCATCTGGCTTTATCCTCAGATGTGAAAGAATGTTACTCTGGACAGACTCCAGCCATGATTCCCTTCACTGACTCAACATCGAGAGTGGCATTCAGTGCCACGGTCACCCCGAATGGAGCCCTCTCCCAGGTCCCCAGAAATTCAGTGCCTCTGTCCACCCCACAAGGCCTGCAGAAGGGGATGCAGACCTCCTTCTAGCCCCCATGATGGCACAGCAGAGTGTCTGAATCTAGGTGCCCCTAGTCCCAGCCAGAGAGCAGAGATGCAGAACAGTGAGCAGACATTCGGAGCAGCTGGCTCCAGCTCAGACCTGCCCCAGGAATGCCACCTGCAAGCTGAGTTCTCTCCAGTCCTGTTGGCTGAGTTAGGCTGGAGGCCAGCACCTCTGCCCTATGGGAACTCACATCTTTGGGGGGTGACCCTTTGCTCTGTTGTGTTCCAGACATCAATGAGTGTGCACCACCTTCACTAGTGTCTTGTGGAAAATTTGCCGATTGCCAGAACACAGAGGGGAGCTACCACTGCACGTGCAGCCCAGGATATGAGCCTGCTTCTGGGGCAAGAACGTTCAGGAATGAGAGTGAGAACACGTGTCAAGGTAAGAACCACCTGCACCTTCCATCTCCCCATCCATGAGTTTTGGGGTCACTCATCACACTTTCTCCAGGCATCAGAGAAGGTCCAGGGCACCTACCTGGTATCCTGTCCCTTTCCAGACTCCAAGGCTCAGAACCCTCTCCAAAGGGTCATTTCTGTAATTTTGGAATGTCCTCCTTGCCTGCCTGGCATCTTCTTTTATGTTCTCTTATTTATTTATTTATTTATTTTCTTTTTCTTTTTAAGTTTTTATTTAAATTCCAGTTAAGTAACATACAACGTACTATTAGTTTCAGGTGTAGAATTTAGTGATTCATCGCCTCTATACAACACCCAGTGCTCATCAGGACATGTGCCCACCTTCATCCCCATCACCTATTTAGCCCATCCCCCTTCACCTCCCCCCTGGTAACCAGCATTTTGGTTTTTATAGTTAAGAGTCTGTTTCCTGGTTTGCCTCTCTTTTTTCCCCCCTCTATGCTCATCTTTTTTTTCTTAAATATGAGTGAAATCATATGGTATTTGTTTTTCTCTGACTGGTTATTTCACTTAGCAAATAATCTCTAGCTCCATCCATATCATTGCAAATGGCAAGATTTCATTCTTTTTGATGACTGACTAAACTCCATTGGATATATATATACCACTTCTTCCTTATCCATTCTTCAGCTGATGGACATTTGGGTACTTTCCATTGTTTGGCTATTGTTGATAATGCTGCTATACACATCGGGGTGCATGCATCCCTTTGAATCAGTATTTTTGTATGTTTGGGCAAATACCTAGTTGGCATCTTATTTTCATAAAGCAAAAGAGAGAGATGGCATCATATACGTCATAAGCTGAGAGCATGTTTATTCCAACACAATATCCATTGTCAATGGATCCAACACAATCACCATCATCAATGACTGTCATGATGAATGGTACCCCCACTGGAGCCCACATGGGCTTGGCCACACTGGGAGCTCTCTCAGACCCATGGGCCCTGAGGAATCCAGGGACCCTGTCCAGAAACATGGGAGGAGGGGCATTCGAGGGTGGGCCCATCTTTCCCAGCTGGCCCTGCCCCTGGCCAACATCCCCACCTGGAGAAGATGCTTCCTCCAGCTTGACTTGCTTCTCATCTGCTTGGCCTCCATCTATTTCCCCATGTAAGGCTCTGCCTGACTCTCCGTAATAATTTCAATTCACTGACCTGAGGCAAATTGGATGACCAGGATCTGGGAGGTTGTGTTGGGGGTGGGAAGGGTGATGTAGACCACCCCACACACTTGGAGATTCAGGTGAATGGAACAGGGTCTCATCTGGACCAAATGGCAAGAAAGGGCAAATAGGAGACCATTGCCTCAAGCCTGATACTCTTCCAAGGGGGTCAACCCAGGTCCCATGTCAACTTAGATCACTTGGGGACAGAAGATGGAGGCTGAGCCCATTGTCAGGGCCCAGAAGGTCACATGGCCAAGAACACAAAAACCCCTGCACCCCTCGCCATCAGCACCCATTCTTCATTCCAGCCAATCAGCCCTTGCTCACCACTTGCCTTGCTCAGATGTGGATTCTCACCACTTCCTGCCAGTCTAGGCATGCCTTCATGGGAATCAGAAAAAGTCACCTTCATCACCCCAAGAATGCTTGGCTGAACATCAGCCTCCACCGTCCTCCTCAGCTTGGTGCCCACTATCTGGGTGGCCCAGGACTGTCTGGCATCATCTTCATCTCCCTTCCTCTATGAAAGCCTTCTCTTTGAGGAGCCTGGCTCAGGCATGGGTCTTGGTCCATCTCCATAGAGCTGGAGTCTCAGAGATAGTGTGGATGAGAACAAGCTGTCCTGCTAGGGTCATAGGGATTCCAATGGCAACTCAGGCAGCAAGCAGTTGCTCTGGGAAAGTAGGACAAAAGTCATCACTGGGAGCCAAGATGGTCCTGCTTGGGGAACACTGTATTTCCCTTGCACTTGGTTCCCAGGAAGGTCCACCCTGGATTTGTTCAAGTCCTCAGGCTGGAACACAGGTGGCCATGATGTCCCTGCCCTACCTGGGAGCTGTCCAGAGAGACCAAGGGAACCAGACGGGGCAGACAGGGAGGACTTGGTCCACTTCTGGCAACATCTGGAAACAGAACATCTGAGCCACCATGCTTGCCCATAGCATGCCTCAATGTGAATTAGAAAAGGCACCCACTCACCAGGGAAGAGACAATGGGGCTTTCCAGATGCTTCTATCATGGGAAACAAGTGGAGGGACCCATCACCCTCTCCTTCCCCCTGCAACTGTGGACGAATGTCAGCTGAAACCCAGAGTCTGTAAAAGCCATGGCATCTGCATCAACACCCAGTGCAGCTACACCTGCCAGTGCCCACCTCTCCAGAAGATTCCACCACAGGGCAGGGAGGCAACAGGGCCTTCTGAGCCTGGGGTTCCCTTTTGGAGCCCCCTGCCTCTCTGTGCACCCCCACACTTGCCCTTCCTCACCTGTCACAAGCAGGAAGTGTCACTTCTAGATCTGAGAAGGGGAAGCTCCGTCCTGAGCTGAGGAGGAAATGACTAAGAGCCTTGATTGGGAAGTCTAGCTCCCATGACTCAGTTTCCTTTGCTATATAGTTTTTGCTTGAAAAGGAGGATAGTGTCCCTGCTGAGTTCATCTTGAAGGAAGCTGCCATAAGGAGCCTTGGGAGTGGAGATGCAGCAGTACTTTCAGGACCTTGTATGCTCAGAGCAAGCAGTGAGGAGAGAGGGAACCTGGGCTGTACAGGGCAGGGCTGACCCTGCTGGTCACTGCTGTCCCAAACTGCACCCATGCCATTAGTCCATCCACTGAGTCAACACGAAGGCAGATCAGTGTCACAGCCTCCCTGGTTAGAGGCCCTTCACAGCCTACCCCTCTCCCTGAACCTGAAACCTAGTCTAATCTGCACGATATGGGAAGGGTCTCAGTTTTGTCTGGGTGACACACATACATGGTTCTACCCTGTCCACCTTGCAGGGACAATCTGAGATTATGGAGTTTTTACAATAGAAAATGCTATCATAAAATTTATCTTGACAGGGTAGGTGGCTGGTACATGATGTGTGTGTGTATGTGTGTGTGTGTGTTTCCTTGGTGTGAAGTACTAAGGAATCTGAGAGAAAGGGCAGGCAGGATGGCTGCAGTGAGTGGAGGGGACCCTGACCCTCTGGCTTTGTCCTCAGACGTGAATGAATGCACGGCAGGGCAGAACCCATGCCACAACTCCACCCACTGCCTCAACAACATTGGGGGCTATGAGTGCCACTGCTGCCCTGGCTGGAAGCCAGTTCCTGGGTCCCCCAATGACCCCAAGAACACTGTCTGTGAGGGTCCAGAGCCCAGACACCACATTCTGGAGACTCACACTCAGAACATCTGATCACATATTCAGTGGCACCCACACAAAGCAAACAGAATGACCCCTGGGGTGCCCTGTTGTGCCAGGCGTTCATTCTTTTGAGGCTGGTTGGGAAAAGATCTGGGGGTCTTGGGGAAGGAGCTGGGGTACTGAGGAGCAGGCTCCTTGGAGACCCCAAACAGCAGCTAATTACTACCTGGGACAAAAGTATTTCTATAGTCACAACCTGCACATCTGTACAGGGCTCACGTGCTACATGTCAGGCTCCGCACACTTCCCATGAACTCTGCATCACCAGGATGTGGGGTCAGCAGGTGATATCACCTCCAGCCAAGGGGAGACACTAACACAGGGAAAAGGGGGAAGGCACGGAGGGGAAAGGGGTCCTGACTCCCATCTTTGTGTCCCCAGATGTGGATGAGTGCAGTTCTGGGCAGCCTACATGCCACAATTCCACCGTCTGCATCAACACCGTGGGCTCATACAAGTGCCGCTGTCACCGGGGCTGGGAGCCCAAACCCAGATTCCAGAATAATCAACCGAACACCACCTGTGAAGGTACCTGGTCTGACCTGACCTCAGACCCTGCCCCTGACACACACAGACACTCTCGCACCTAATGAATGGTGTTCTATCCCCTGCAGAGGTGTCCTTCCCCACCTGGACCCCACCCCCTGGAATCAAGAGCCAGGTGAGTGGCCCCAGCAGGAACCAGGAGGCAGGAATCCCTCTGTGCAGCCCGCCTGATCCACCCATTTTCCCCAAGCTCCTCCACCCACAATTCGGGCTCTCTGATCTGTACCTCTCTATCCTAGAGACTCTCCCGTTTCTTTAAAAGAATCCAAGATCTGCACAGAGACTTCAAGCCAGCCTCAGCTCAGGGCACCATCCAGGTAAGGGCACATCCCAAGAGAGGCAAGGTGGAGGCATCCCATAGAGGCCTGGCAAACTTTGGCCTGGGTGGAGGCAGCCCCAACACACTGGCTTCCTCTCTGAGGCCCAGGGTGGGTGGGAAGAGCAGACATGCAGGCATTCCTACTCACTATTAGACACCTCCTGCACCCACAAATGACCTTTCTTCTTGCTGTTTCTGGACACTGGGGTAATGTCATTCTTGGCATTTGTGAACAGGGTTGACTTCCGGATTCCAGGGGCAAAGACCCCGGGACTCTGATCCAGTACCACTTTCATCTACCAATGAGTCTCCAGGGTCTGTTGTCTGGGGCTGAGTGGGCAGGGTCTTCATGCTCACTGGCTCTGTGTCCCCAACCCCCAGGACCTCATACAGGAGGTGGATGAGCTGCTGGAGACTCCAGGGGATCTGGAGGCTCTGCCCCGCTCAGAGCAGCACTGTGTGGCCACTAACCTGCTTGTTGGCCTTGAGGATGTCCTGAGAAAGCTGAGCCAGGCCCTGCCCAATGATACATTGACCTTCAATGCATCTGCAGGCACAGGTAAGTACAGGGGTCTGCCCCAGGCTTTGCTCTGCCTGTTCCCGCCACATTTGTGCCCCAGCCTCACTGGAGTGTGTGATCATGCTTATATCTCCATATTTCCAGATGCTTCATTTAACCAATTAAGAGGTTAAATGAATAAAACTGTAAATTACACACATTTTCATTGTAATATGTTATCAACAGATGAAATTATTATAATGAAGAATTTAAGATAACAAAATAGAAACATCTTTAAAAGGTTGTTTAATTTTGAAGAATGTAAATTTAATATTATTTGATATTTAACTATGATTTGTTTTGCTGAGTAAAATTCAAGTAAAATAAAATTTACCATTTTAAACAAAATGTACAATTCAGTAGCACTTAGTACACTCCCAGAGTTGTACAACCATCACCTCCATTTCTAAAATATATTCATCACCCCAAAAGTAAATAGTGTACCCACTAACAGTTCCTTCCCATCTCTCCTACCCCCAGACCCTGCAGCCAGCAGTCTGTTTTCTGAGTCTGTGGATTTGCCTATTCTAAACATTTCATATCAATAGAATCATGCAATAAGGACCTTACAGTCTGGCTTCTTTCACACGGCATGATGTTTTCAAGGGGAATCCCTGTTGTAACACGTGGTAGTATTCCTTTCCTTTTTATGGTTGAATAATATTCCATTATTGTGGATATAGTACCTTTTCTGTATCTATTTATCCACTGACGGACCTTTGGGTTGTTGCCACCTTTTGACTATTTTGAATAGTGTTACTATGAATATTGGTGGACAAGTTTTTGTTTGAATAACTGTTCTCAGCTCTTTGCATACATACATAGGAGTGGAATTTCTGGGTGATGAGGTGACTCTATGTTCAACTTTTTGAGGAACCACCAGGCTCTTTTTCTAAAATGGTGGCACCATTTTACATCCTCACCAGCAACACAAGGGTTCCATAGATATATTCTCAGCAACACTTGGTACTTACATTTTGTTTTCTTATAGCCTTTTTTAGTGTATGTCAGGCAATGTCTCTATCGTTTTGGTTTGCATTTCCCAAATGACTAATGATATTTAACATCTTTTCATGTGGTTGTTGAATATATATATATATATATATATACATATATACACATCTATTCAAGTCCTTTGTCTATTTTTTAATTCATTGTTTGACTTTTGGTTGTTGAACTGTAAGAGTTCTTTATTAATTCTACAGTAGACTGTATGAAACATATGATTTGCTCATTTTTTCTCCCATTCCATAGATTGTCCTTCCACTTTCTCCATGGTCTTTTCACTCTAGTGAACAGATGCTTCTGTTTTGATGAAATCCTTTTTCTCTATTTTTTCTTTGTTACATGTGCCTTTGGTGTCTTTTGTAAGAATCCATTGCCAAATCTAAGGCCATGAAGATTTACACCTGTTTTTCCTCCTAATTTTTCTAGTTTTAGATCGTAAATGTAGATCTTTGACCCATTTTAGTTAATTATTGTTTGTTGTGTGAGGTAGGGTTCCAGCTTACTTCTACTGCAAGGGGAGATCTAGGTGTGCTAACACCATTTGCTGAATAGACTTTTCTTTTTCCACTGAATGGTCTTGGCATCCCTTATTGAAAATCAATTGGTCACAGATGTATGGGTTTATTTCTGGGCATTCAATTTTATTTTACTTGTCTGTATGTCTATCCTTATGCCAGTACCCTGCTGTTCTGATTACTGTTGGTTAGTAGTCAGTTTTGAAATCAGGAGGTGTAGTAGGTACTCCAATTTTGTTTTCTCATTTTCAAGACTGTTTTGGGTATTTGGGTCCCTTGCAATGGCCTGTGAACTTTAAGATGAACTTTTCCATTTCTAAAAAATGTTGCAATATTGATATGGATTCTATTGAATCTGTAGACATCTTTGGGGAAATATTGCCATCTTAGTAATATTAAGCCTTTTAAACCATGAATATAGAATGTTTTCCCATTTACTTAGGGTCTTTCATTTATTCCAACATTTTTTTGTAGCTTTCCATGTACAAGTCTTGAACCTCCTTGGGTTAATTTATTTCTAACATTTTGTTCATATTTTTACATTTATGTTCATAAAAATATTGGTCTATAATTTTCTCATAATGGCTTTATCTGGTTTTGTTATCATTGCGATGGTGGCTTCATAAGATTATTTAGGTAGAATTCCTTACTTTTCTACTTTTGGAAGTATTTACAAAGGCCATGATGTCCCTGCCCTACCTGGGAGCTGTCCAGAGAGACCAAGGGAACCAGACGGGGCAGACAGGGAGGACTTGGTCCACTTCTGGCAACA